CGGTGGCAGGAGGACCCGCCAACCTAGGGGTGTGGGGCCGATAGTGCGAACGTGTGTCTCTTGCCCCACCCAAGAAAGTTGTTCCGCGGCTTTGGAAAATTTGACTGTTCAAGGCAGACATTTATGGAGTGGCTAAAGGACATTTAGAAATAACTAAGCCTTAGAGTCTAAGGTTAAGGTGGTTGCTGTCTATGGGACTTTATCCGATTTGCTTTCTGTGGCCAGCAGTAAACTCGGCATAAAAGCCACTAGTGTGTATAATGGGAAAGGTGGACTGATTGATGATATTGCTTTGATCAGGGATGATGATGTTTTGTTTGTGTGTGAAGGAGAACCATTCATCGACCCTCAGACAGAGTCTAAACCACCGGAAGGGCTGTCAGGACCCCACACGGACTGGCTCACACTAAACGTTGGAGGGCGGTACTTTACCACCACGCGGTAGCACCGCTCCGGCCAGGTTGTAGCATGCGTCTTTTTGAGAGAGCAGCTGGGATCGAGTATACTCTTGACTTAAATATGTTTGTTTATAAAGACAAATGGAGAAATCCATTTTTTTCCCTGAATTCTTAGGAGCACGTTAGTGAACAAAGAGCCCGACAGTATGCTGGCCCACATGTTTAAGGACAGAGGTGTCTGGGGAAATAAGCAAGACCACAGAGGAGCTTTCTTAATTGACCGAAGTCCTGAGTACTTTGAACCCATTTTGAACTACTTGCGCCATGGACAGCTCATTGTAAATGATGGCATTAATTTACTAGGTGTGTTAGAAGAAGCCAGATTTTTTGGTATCGACTCATTGATTGAACAGCTAGAAGTGGCAATAAAGAATTCTCAACCACCAGAAGATCATTCACCCATATCTCGAAAGGAATTTGTCCGATTTCTGCTAGCTACTCCAACGAAATCAGAATTGCGGTGCCAGGGTTTAAACTTCAGTGGTGCTGATCTTTCTCGTTTGGACCTTCGATACATTAACTTCAAAATGGCCAATTTAAGCCGCTGCAATCTCGCGCACGCTAATCTCTGCTGTGCAAATCTTGAACGAGCTGATCTGTCCGGATCAGTGCTTGACTGTGCAAATCTCCAGGGAGTCAAGATGCTCTGCTCTAACGCAGAAGGAGCCTCCCTGAAGCAGTGTAATTTTGAAGATCCTTCTGGTCTTAAAGCCAACTTGGAAGGTGCTAATCTAAAAGGTGTAGATATGGAAGGAAGTCAGATGACAGGAATTAACCTGAGAGTCGCTACCTTAAAAAATGCGAAGTTGAAGAACTGCAACCTCAGAGGAGCAACTCTGGCAGGAACAGATTTGGAGAACTGCGACCTGTCTGGTTGTGACCTGCAGGAAGCCAACCTGCGAGGCTCCAACGTGAAGGGCGCTATCTTTGAAGAGATGCTGACACCACTGCACATGTCACAGAGTGTCAGATGAGAGTTTCAAGGCTGCAGGAAGAAGCTCAAGACGACAGATGTTTTCCTTAATCACTTTTATTTCTCCACTCACTCGGCTGTCTAGAAGAAATAACACTGTAAGGAAATTAAAGAGAAAAACATTTAGAGGATTATGCTTGTTCTCAGTGGTGCATAGGGGGGAAAAGTGACTTTTCCCTACATTCTGACTTTACCAGAAAAGCATTCATTCAGTAGACATAGGGAAGCTAGATTAGACGCTGCCTTCCGAGTGGAGTAGGGGGCTTGCCTGGCTTCGTGACCAGGAATAGTACCTATTATATTTGCTTTTAAATAGGCATGGTATGGAAATGTTGTACCATCTTGGCTTGAAATTTGAGGATTTTAATTTATGAGAAGCACAACATATACCATTATATTTATTGAGCCTCTAGAGGCATACGGATCAGTACATTGTGAAGCTCCGTGAACATTTCCAGAGGTTGTTCATGTTATGAGAAGCTGTGGCAATGACTCCCCCCGCCTACCCATCACACCGTGTGAGCACGGTGACATCCGACGCCCCAAGGCTTGCACTTCAGGTTCCTTTTTTATGTTTTTTTTAACAGAATAGTAGCTAAATTAAAGAAATCCTCCATTCTTGCTGACTCGAAAGAAAGAGTCCAGAGAACGACATCACTGTACATGAAGGTCCACGGAGGCTGCAGCGGGCCTCGAGGCGGAGCTTCTCAATGAGCTTGCTTTGAGTTTCCTTCTAAGCAAGTCCCGCTCCACGCCAGGCCAGGCAGCTTGTTTATTGACACGACCAGCCTCCTTTCCTCGAGTACAGTCAACACAAGAACAGGAAGATACTGCAAAACCAAAAACCAAGGTGCATTACTAATAATTCAGTGGCCAAATCGTGTAAACAGGACTAGCTTAGAAATAGATAGTAAGTCTCGATCCACTGCAATTGAAGCTGTAAAATAGGAATGGATATGGCAAAGTCATCTCTCAGAAGGCACCACAATGTAATTGAAGCTAAAACCTGACAGTGTGGAACGAGGAATTTTAAACTGGTAATAGCCACCAAAAAAAAGTAAATAAAAACAAAAGCATTTGGCTGGTCCAAAATGTAAAAAAAAAAAAAAAAGAAGAGACACCAAGGGTGCTAAGCTGCTGATTTTCTGTGAGGAGGATTTGTAGACATGGTTCAAAGGTGAAAAAGGGCAGTTAAGCCAGCAGAAGCACTGTCTGCCTTGGGGGATACTTTTATAATGCAGCTTCTCCAAGATGGACATAAAGTGTGCCTTTTCCACTGCCTTCTGCACACATTCTGTGAACAACCTCTGAAACAGCATGTTAAATTATATGTCTGCTGAACATAATGCTGAGTGACAGAATGCAGACCCAGAAGAGCACATACCGTATGATTCTATTTACCTGTGATTCTGAAACAGAAAAAATATAATCATTAAAATAAAAAAAATTGTTGGCTGCTTGGAGGAACTGAGTAGGAAAACATGAGAAAACTTTTTGAGGATAAGGACATATATGTTAATGGGGCTGTGGCTAAGTGAATGTATACATTTGTTAAATATTAAATTGTATCTTTAAAATATGCACATTTCACTATATGCAAATTAAGGTTTACCCAAAATATCCACCTATAAATCAAAATTGAATTCTAGCTAAAAGCTTTGACTTTTTTAGTGATACAGAATAGCAATTATTAAACTAATACCTGTACACTCTGGATTTGAGCAAATGAAAATATACTGAGGATAGTAAAAGTCCGGCTTCTCACTGTTGTGGAAACCAGCTACAAATATGGAAAAGGAAAAATGTAGGTGGCAGCATAAAGTATTGGATTAAATTGGAGTAGATGTAATGACAGATTTTTAGCACTGAGCACATCCAAATGCCATTCTCCAGTAGATGAACAAGGGATTTGGGGAGAAAGGTTGATTCCAGAGCTGAGGAAAGGAGAACATTCATAAACTGGGGCTCAAAGTAGACATCAATTAGAAGGTGACATTTAACCTGAGACATTCAAGATGGACAGGATTTAATGATCTAATAAAAATAATATTCGTCAAGGCCACAGGCCATTGTATTCAGAACCCTGTCTCCTGACACTTCTACCAATAGGGCAAAGGCCTCTCCTCTGGAATCCAGCTCCATTGAGCTAGAAGGGTGGAGAGACCACACCTAGTCCAGAATACAGCTCATGTCATAGTCTGAGCCAATATGCTGTGAGTGAGCCATTCCTGTGTTTCGGTTTAAAGAAGTGTGTTAACTGTTTGCAGGTGTGTATTTTAATGTAATAATAATAATAATAACAATAACAATAATACTACACAGCTATCTATATGATACTTACAATATGCCAAGCCTGTTTTTAAAACAATTTATCTGTTAGCTGATATTCAATCTTACAACAGCCCCATGAATCAGGTACTATATGATCCTCAATTTATAGATGGGAACCCAGACCACCCAAATAAGTTAATTAGCTTATTCCTAGTAACAAAGTAAATGGTTTCTCTAGGAAGTGAGCCCAGACACTTTAATCTACAGTCTGTATTCCTGACCAGTTTACCGTGCTGCCCCTCTTCTGTGTGAATTTATTTTATAGAGGCATTTTTGTCATCGCTGATCAGCAATCACAAAAGTTTGCAAGGCCATTGATCTGCATTTCTTCCCTCAGCTCTTTTCCCTACAGACTGTGTATTTTCCAATTGATCTGAGCACCCAGTTAGAAGTGACAGGAAAGGGCACTGCAATTTTGATGCCTGCTACTAAAAAACAAAAAAATTTAAGCATGAGATCACATGGCACAGTTTCTTTTCTTGGTACATAACTGTTTCTACACTAATATGAACATCTAATCATTTTCTCTTTTGGAAAATTAATAAACAAGTAACTCAAATATAAACATATATTAAGTATTTTTCCTTGTAATAATGGAACCAATTCTTAAATTGTCTTTCTTGCCCTTGGTACTTATCATAGTGGTAAATGAGACACTATACACTTTCTTAGTTTACCTTCCTACCACGAGTTTTAGAATTTGTTTTAAGAATCATGATCTTAAAAATACACACTTTTTCTAATTTTTAAATATTCTTTAATGTTTAATATATATTGATACATCATTATATACTCTATTTTGAGAGGAATATTCTTTAGATCATTTCATGTACATAATGTAGCAACATGTCAATGTTAAGAAACTAATTTTTCAGTCTATTTCCCATATGCAGTTTTTCGGGGTGGTTAACTGATCACTTCGCAGCTGTAATTTTGAGCTCCACTGAACTGTTATGGATGTTCCATTTTAAAACAGAACATATGTGAACAGAACTGTTTCTGTTATGCTTGACTGATGCTCCTGATTGTACTCCAAATTTACAACTGTGCCTCTAGTGATGAACTAATAACTTTGATTATTTAGGTAAAGTCAGATCTTTAAATCCAATCTTAACTCCTTAATTGAAAAGCAACTAAAAAGGCATCTGCCACTATGCAATATAGTGTTTGATTTTTCCCCTTCAGTTTAGAGTGATCTCATAGTTTAGCCTGTTTAAATTCCTGACATTAACCTCAATTGGATGATACCCAGTACACATGTAAGTTAACAAACAATTATTTATTGACATGAGAAAGCATTCGGTTATTCTCATGAAATGCTGGTATAGTTAGAATAAACTTGATGATGTTTAAGAATAGTTTTAGTGTAATTAGTGGATAGCTTAAAAATATAATCCAAAGCCAGATTTATCATTTATTTAGTTACTATTGTGCTTGTAAAAAATGTAATAACTTTATATGGAAGAACATGATACTGTGAAATATAATATAAAAGCTGATTTCTTAACAACCAGAATTTTAGCTTCAGCCTAATTACCTATTTACCACATCTATGTGGCAGCTCATTTAAGGGTTTTATCCTTGGTTCCCACATCTGTAAAAGGAGATAATATAATAACTTAAACCTAATATCTATATAATACCTATATCACAGATAATTTAAGGTTTACTTAAAATCATACATGTGGGAAGATTCTATGATATGATAATCAGTATAAATGCCACTTATCGCTACTTAATACAGGCAGAAGAATCCTTTCTAAGATAAATTTAGGGTATTAGTAAATCGTCTGCTAATGGACTACCCCAAAAGTACCAGCATTTGGTCACAATCCTCATCTTATCATTTAAACTTTCTCACAAGCAACTTCTGCTTTTCTAGTCACATGAAGATTTCCTTTGTTATCAGCCAATTTTGTTTCTTGGACAGATTCAGCATCTATAATCTACAATGCTAAGTGAAGCATTAAAAAAATTAATTAATAATGAACTTGGCAGAGTCAGTGAATGCAAATCTATATGAGGAATATATAACTAATTGTAGAAGGGCAAAAGTTTGTCTACTCCATTACAGGAGCAGTATAATAAAATTTATCTGCTATCTGACCCACAAGGAACTAGGACTGCATTTGCATTTGTTGGCAGAAATAGCCAGATGACTTCCAGCCAAGATGGAGGCGTAGACAGACACGCTCTGCCTCCTCACACAACCAAAATAAGGACCACAAAAATTTAGAAACAAAAAAACACCCAGAACTGACAGAAAATTGAACTGTATGGAAGTCCGATAACCAAGGAGTTAAAGTAGACACATTCATCCAGACCAGTAGGCGGGGCAGAGTTGGGGGGGAGGCAACCAGAGAGGGGTTGTGGAAAAAAAAGCAGTGGCTTGCAGACCCTGGGGCAGGGTGGCAGTGGGAAGATCCAGAGATATGCAAAAGACAGCTGGTAGAGCAGTCAGTCACACATTCACACACAAATAAACCAGGCGAAACTGGAGACCGAAACTGTGAGGTGAAACAGATTGTGCAACCCAGGGCAATAAAGCCTCAAAATGTCGATTGAAAACACCTATGGGGTAGATCAATCTTGGATGTAGGTCTTTGGATTTCATAATTTGGAATACTTCTTTCCAGCCCCTTCTTGCCTATAAGGTTGAGAAATCTTCTTTTGAGAAATCAGCTGACAGTTTGATGGAAACTTTTTTGTAGGTGACTGTCCCCTTAGCTCTTGCTGCTTCTAGAATTCTCTCTTTCATTGTAATCTTGGCTAATATAATGATTATGTGCCTTGGTGTGTTCCTTCTTGGGTCCAAGTTCTTTGGAACTCTGAGCTTTCTGGATTTCCTGGAAGTCTATTTCCTTTGCCAGATTGGGGAAGTTCTCCTTTCTTATTTGTTCAGATAAGTTTTCCGCTGGTAGCTGTTCCTCTTCCCCTTCTGGTACCCCTATAATTAGGATGTTGGAACGTTTAAAGATGTCCTGAATGTTCATCCAAGATTGATCTATCCAGCAAAGCTTTCATTTAGAATGGAAGGGCATGTAAAGTGCTTCTCAGATAAGATCAAATTCAAAAAGTTCACCATCACCAAGCTCTTATTATATGAAATGTTAAAGGGACTTACCTAAGAAAAAGAAGATAAAAAGATGAACAGTGAAAAGACGGCAAA